GGCCATGCCCCCTCCCACCCCTCTGGATCCGCCACTGCATGAGACCACCAATACCTATGTAACGAGATTTAAACTCCTCTGACTGGTTTAGTCAACGAATCAAGTGCAACGAAAGTCATCTATAAATTAAAAGAAAAAAAATAATATATTGTCCGTCGCAGTACACGACAGAACGAAAGGAAATTGAAAAATTTACCCGAGTATCTAACCACCTTTTCCGGGCATTTTTCCTGGCCAACCTTTGATTCAGATGATTGTCTTCAAAATGAAACCCTTGTGTGAATTATTTTCTCCAATGAGTACGCCGTCGGCCAATATGAAAGGTTAGCTGTGATTGGCTGTAGCTTATAGGAGGGGGGGGGGGTAGCTGGTACAGGATACATAAAATAAAAACGGCATTTCCGTTTTAACAGGAAATAAAATGAAAGTTCCATTTACAGTGAAAAATAGGTTTTTACACTTTACAGATAAAACAAATTCCTAATTACATTTTATATTTGAGTTTAAGAATCAAAATTGGAAATTACGACATTTAATTTGGAAAATGTTTTACACGCTTACAAAAAATAATATTTTTGTAAAAACTACGGACGTCTACGAATTTACGTTTTTCATTGATTTAAATTACATTATTACGAAAATAAAAAAAAAAGGTTTTCAGCTTACGAAAATACCCCCTGCCGACCCTCCTTACACGGGATTTTTATAGGTATTGGGTCAGATCCTTGTTTTGGCATCAACTATCATCAAATAAATAATAGATAAATAAAATAAAATAAAATAAAAAAAAATAAAAAAAAATAAAAAAAAATAAAATAAAATAAAATAAAATAAAATAAAATTTAAATTAAATTAAATTAAATTAAATTAAATTAAATTAAATTAAATTAAATTAAATTAAATATATATGCAAAGATTTCGAAGTTTGACAACCTTTGGCAATTTTGAAATACTATGGCTCATTGATTGCAAAACATGTGCGACCTTAATTTTGCCATGATCACAGATAAAATCCTGTCATGAAGTATTGATTCATGGCAATCACAATTGTATCAAAATTCCATTCACAATAATGGTGGACACGTGCAATGTAATTTCCTTTGTAAAATATTCGACTTTTTCGTATTCTCTATAACATTATGAAATCCCTAAAATAATCTTTATTTGTGGACATCCTTTTACAATCTGTAAAGTATGAATATATAATTTGTCAGTATGAGACAACCAAAAATGAAGGAATGAACGTGGTGAAGGAATTTATTTAATGCCTGTTATCGCAGTCACTTTTTGGAAAAGTAATTCAGCGAAATGTCTTTATTCATGTTCAGGTCAGGAGGTTTATTTTTATTAATACCGTAACACTTGAGCAGAGGGAAACTACTATTCGGCATAATAACCAATGGTGATTACAGTGAGTGTAAAATAATAATATTGTGATGTTTTCAACAGTGCAACAATGTTTGCATTTTCATTTGGAAACATACATCAGCCTGGCGTGGGTACGGGCATGATCGGTGTGCGGTTCGATGTAAACCCAGTGCTTTAGTTCCAAAAAAAAGTTTACACGTTACCTTGAATTGTTCATGCATACCCTTTTCCTCTCGCAATATTCACATAGTCTCATGATGTTCCAGAGCGAACGTGATACAGACGTCTGGGCTAGTTCATTTTGATTGAGCTTCTTTGGCATCTTTGTTTCTCTTGCTACTGACTCGCATATACCATTTTTTGACGTAAAGCTTCTAAATTCGTCTAAAACTGTACCTAGAAAACTTTAATTTACCGGCAGTGGGCTTTGCAACTCTTCAAGAAATATAACATGCTTGGCTATTCAGTTGACCATAAATTATGTATTAATTAAGCGATTTCGTATAAAAGTAAGTATACTATAATATGTAACAGCCTGAGGGTTTTCGTTGTTTGAAGAGATGGGTTTTCCTTTCTTAAGGTTTTTTTTTTTAGGAATTTGGTCTCCCGGACCGTGGATGTTACCAATAGTTGGCACTCTACATACCTCTGAAGCATACCTCTATAACGATGAGGCTGATTAAACTGCACTTCTAAAATAGGGTTTTGGTTTGCACCGAAGTTCTGCATGAAATTTTCATACTAGCTGCAGGTAATGTGAATGAAACTGTCGTCTGAAATGACAGAACGGACCGAGAAAAGCAATCCAACAGTTGATAGTTCAAAAGTTTGTTATGGTAAGTTGATATTATTAATATTGCAGTGGTTGTCATGCCATGCCATGTATGAGATAAAGTGATTTTTTGCACAGCTCAATACAGCATCGCAATGACTATGTGCCATGTGCCCAACCATCTATCATATCCAGGTCTGGAAAATACTTTGGCAATTTCACCAAACTTGTGCAGAGCCTCATTGAATATTACGGCGTTGTAATTGTAACCCGGAATAGGGGTATCGTTGATAACACCACTGACCATTCACTGACAGGGCAGACTATTTCTCCACGGCATGACACGACATGATTATGTCCGTTTATACATTAGGTGTAAAAGCTCCGATAGCTCTTACCATGTCTTCCTTGACGTTCTTTTGTCATATACATATACATCGGTATCGACAGCTCCAGACCAATAAATATATGCTCGTGTCAGATGCAACGCCTTCAATGTCCCGTGTATTTATGACATTTCGTGGTCTTTCATTTAAAGGTAAAATGTTTGCATATCGAAACCTTGCAGATTCACTGTTCTGAAATCAAGTTACTGCAATGTTTGATGAATATTCATTATTAAGTATATGTATATGAATAATGTATATGAAATAAGTATATGCATATGAAGGTACCCCGTACACATTAAATAAATTATCGGGTTTATGTTGCTGTTTTGTTTCTGATTTTCATAACAACATTGAGTATTATAATGTTGTCAAGGGTCCAACAAAGTAAACTGCAGTACACATGTAATAAATGTAGGAAACATCGCCGGACAGAGGGGTGCTGTGAGGGCATAACCAAAACAATGTCCCCTGTTGTTACATATAAATTGGCTGTTTTTGAAATGGTTGGAAAGATCAACATACCCCCCCCCCCCATTAACAAATATTTTTCTAATTTCTACCATCTGTTGACACTGCCCGAGCTAGAACAACACCTGTTTTGCGGCTTCACTACTTAAAATAACTCCGCCGTCTCAACAACACGTTAAAACTTGCCGGCAAATTGCTTTAACGGAAATATGGTTAGTATTAGCAAGGTTTTTCTCTCATTAATTCACGAAATCAACAGCTGATATGCGGTTGCCTATTGGCTACTCGCGCTGTCAATCTCTTGGCCGGTGTATAGTATATACTAGATGATATTTGGTAATAGTATTCCTATTCAAAACTGGTTGACCTTTCTGGCAATGTGTCTTCATTGTAATTTGACCTGTGGCCACGTGGTTTTGGTCGGCACTACATAGAACCTATGCGACCTCAACTCATCGTGGTGGCAGGGATATAATAGTAAAAATAGGACGGTATACTGTACAAACAATTCAAAAATACTATTTTTACTAAGGTGCAAAAAACCTAATATCATAACTACAAACGGAATATGTTAACTTACAAACTTAATGTTCGATCTCACCCTATACATCGAGTAATGAGTTTTTAGTATTGACAAACATTACTTTATAACATTTGTATTAGAGCTAGTTATGTGATGTATTAATACCACACTGCGGGTGCAGGCGATCTGCAATACGAAAGAACGTGCACGCCCTTCTAATTTCTAATAATGCTAAGAAGGTAGGAAGAGAAATGTGTCATTTGATAGATATCTCAATTGCTCTTAAAGTGTCAGTTTCAATAACAGATCTACAGATGAATGAGAGTTGTTACATTTGGAGGGCGCCGTGGGCTGGAGATCATCTTTTTCCAACCTTGGATTTAAATCTTATTTTCCTCCATATTCAATCTAGGAAATACAACAAAGAATGCCCGCTTAACAAAAACGAGGATGACAGATGTACTCTACTTTTTCTATCCTTTGAATTCCATTCGGTAATGAAGATTCTGATGACGGAACTAAGTTTCATTTCATACCAAAACATATTTTTAAGGTCAAAATCGCATATTATTGTAAACAAAATCCACATCATTTATATTACACCACCAACAACAAAAATGACACGTGTGCATAGTTCTTAAAAACAACAACTACAAACTAAAAGTGGATTTATAACTATGGTGTTATTGTTTTATTCACAGTGACAACTTATGTTGAAATCTTCGATGTTGACATGTACGTTTACAGTATATACAGTAGTTTCCATGACAACTACTGTGTTGAATTATTCATTCAGACACTCGGTTCAGTCAGTCGCTTAAAACGAGGAACGCTGGGCAACAGAGGGAAGGTCTTTAACAACACAAGTAAACTGCATAGGCCAATACATACACATAACCTCCTAGAGGGTTTGCTAGCTAGCGTGTTCTCGTAACACTCCCGCTGTACGTCACAAAGTAACACACAACTGCAGAATTTCTATCATTATTTTTAATAAAGAAGTAAATATGTCTTGAATAGGAATTCTTCTTTCCCAGGTAATTTCCTCCAAGAATTTATATCCTGATTCAAAGCACACGACAGTTGTTATACCACGCCCACGCCGGATGTTGCCTTATTTAAAGCTCTACAACTCTAGAGGGCTTAGTATTTCCCGCAGTCGGCTGACTGAGCTCGATTCACAACCATCTCTACGATAGGTCTAGGATCTGCAAATAGTGTTGCACGTGAGTACATACAGTACGTCGCTGTTCTTGATTCTATTACGTGGCATTATACTTCGTGACGCATGTGAGGCAGTTTATATTCACCTTTAACAGTAACGTTGAATTGCAAGTCTGTCAACATTCTAAGACTGTGAATGTTATGATCACCTTCGCAAGTTGTGATGAAGGGTGTTGATTTATTCACAGAGCCACTACTCATCAAATCGAACTGTGATTTGATAATTGAAACAATGATCGACAACAACGTATCCACCATGACCACAATGCGTGATTTGAATTCAACTGACTGGAATATGTTCTATCCACGGTTTGATATTATTTTGCCCGCTGTTTACGTTTTCATAACTATTGCGGGCGTCATCGGGAATGGGTTTGTATTGATGATCTTACTCCGAAGCACAAAGAACCGGTGCATCCCCGATGTATTCATCATCAACCTGGCCGTTGCTGATCTATTATTTGTTTTAACACTACCATTTTTCGCTTACGTCTATGCCGCCGGCAGCTGGATTTTCGGTAGGATTTTGTGTAAAGTCATCGTTGGGTTTGATGGGATGAACCAGTTTACAGGTATTCTGATATTGACGGCGATGAGCATTGATCGCTATTTCGTCATAGCCCGTCCAATTCGCAGTAAAGCTTATCGTACAATCAGCAAAGCGCGGGTGACTAGTGTGCTTGTGTGGGTAACCTCTTTTCTGTGCAGTTTACCGCTGTGGACATACGCTGAACTGAACACTGAACCGAACGGTGTGATCGTGTGCCAAGTCATGTGGCCGAATCCGCAAGCGAACGCCCTGTCGTTTCTATTATTTGCGTTCATCGTTGGGTTCGTTTTACCAGTAACAGCAATACTTACTTTCTACTGGGCTATTTTAAATCACGTGTTCGAAAGGAAAAGTAAACAGATATATGACAACAGTCGAGCTCGCTCGGCCCAGTGCCGATACCAACGAGTTGTCAATCTAGTGAGGGCTGTTGTCTGTGCATTCATCATATGTTGGCTCCCCTTTTATATAATGAATTTCATCACGCTCACCGTACCGGATACAGACAAAGGTTCTGGCACTCTGAATAAGGCGCTGGTGACCTTATACATCACAAGTATCTGCCTGAGTTACTTCAACAGCTGTCTGAATCCTATAATTTATTCATTTCTTGGTTCATCCTTCAGGTTAAGACTGAAAAGAATCGTGCGGCGACGGCGTTCTCTACAAAACGAAACACGTATAACCAATTCATTCGGTAGCTCTCGCAACCGCCAGCAGTGTCAACAAATTGACTCGACGTATAACTGACGTCTTGGTCTTTAGTTAAACGAAACAAGATATCGTGTCGACTACCCCGTCATTCATTCATATATTACCTTTGTTGATATTCTATATCTCAAATGTTATAGTAATTAATTAACAAGACAGAAACTTTCAATGCCAACATTTTTTTGCACTTGTGTCACTGTGACGTAGAAAGCGTTTGGTGAGATTCTATTAAATGGGATGTATATATTTTCAACTTTATTTTTTGCGTGAGTAAAAAGTAAAATTGCCATCATAACGAGTATTAGACTGTTCTGAATTGAAAGTATTTGCAATAAGAAATAATAATAGACATGGCAGCGAAGATGTTTATAATTATAAGTTTACCACATTTAAGGCGACATGCGTTAAAATTATGCACGCCCACACTGGTCTTATCGCATGTTGTTGTCACTCATTGCTGATTTCCCACTTGCTATGTACCAAACACACAAGTGTCCCTTGAAATTACTGAACATTGAAATAATAAATAATATCATCGAATATTATTTTACACTGGTGTAAAACTGAACTGTCAAAACAATACAAATGAGAGTAACGGAGTAGAAAACAACATATTTGTGGCAGCCGTATTCGTAGAACAGTGTGCTAGGAATTGATTTGCAGCCACGTGACATACATACATCAGCGCCCTGTTTTACTTGTTATTTTACGTGTAAGTTGAATGCTACAAATGCCAGATAGTGAAACACCCAATTGGGCGTATTATTATTATCGTCGTGGTGGTAAACATTAATACCAAGTGTTATATTGCATAAGTGACCTTTTTAGGTGTGACAACATCCAACTATACACGGTTTAATGTTGAACATTAACTGCAAATGGCAATTATATTGTCTGAATATTGGCTGAATAAGGAAATATGCACGCTAGAACGCCAATGTGAAGTGCAGTGCACGCCACAATCAACGAGACAGCGATTGGTAAACATATATTTGCATATTTCACCAGCAATATTAGTCAGGGGTGTTCTTAAATCATGTTTTACGTTTATCCCATGAAACTGTTATTGATTAACTTTCATCTATATTACTTTACTTTATTTATGTTACTGCCGTCATGTTTTGTCATCGAGATATTATATGCGAGATTGTCAAAATAATTGAAAGGTATAAATAAATGTAGAAAATATCTAATGAGCAACCCGTGATACCAGATGATGCCTTTAATAAGAAATATATATGACACGGTTTAATAGCATGGGACTATTCATGCAGACATCATAATGTTTTCATCACATGTATGTTTCATTTCGAAGCTACTTTGTCAACAGACTGAACTAATAAGGCATACAATCTGTTATTCGAGGAAAGGTAGTCCGTGGCACAACGCATCCAGTGGTATTCTTTTCTATTCAATAATAATAAAAAAAGTTATAACGGCTTTTTGCATTTTTTTTTCAATTTTCAGTCTATATCATTTGTCTGTAGTGACAAAAGGCAGGTGATGAACAACTAAAAATAAAAAAAATACGGAGTTTCCCGCGCTTTTATGCCAAACTACATGATCCGAACAACGTTTTTATTTATCGTGTAGTATTTGTTTCAAGTTTGCGCTTTGAGCAAACGTCATTGTATGCACATGTACACAGTATGCACTTAATGGTCTCAGTATAGTGTTGAACTAGTAAAAATTAAACAATCATAGTAGAAGATTTGGACATTCATTATTAAAGTATTATTAAAACAAAACAGTATGAATATGTATTTTTTGACTTTCTCTTGTGTTCAGTTGTATTTTGTTTGTAATTCCCGTACGTTTCAATAGTAATTTACAGTTACTTGAAATCATTAGTCGTGTGCCAACTGTCATTCATTGAACAATTTATGGATTATTAATAAAAACACTTTTGTTATTTCAATTGTCCTTTTTTCTGACTGGTTATTTTGAAAACAATATTCATTTTTCAAAATATTTAAATTAACTTTATTAATATATATGTCATATACAGGTTGTAAGTAGAATGAAGACATGTCAATTTTGAACCTGGTGTTGCCTAACATGTACAATCAACACGTTTAACAATGATTTGGATAAACGCAAAAATAAGCAATATTAGATATTGGGACGGTTTCATATATTTGAATATAATGTTGAAGAAATGCACTAGCAAATGTCAGCGAAACTTTCAAACTGAGTTCAGAATGATTAAACACATTATGTCAGGTTTTTGCAATCGTGTACATATTAATAAATATAAGACACAACGCATATCTCAACATTTTACCGAAAACACTGTTTTATCATTCCTTTTTGAGAAAGTTGTCGCGTGACTCGCAAATCATTAGAATGATCTTTAAATCATGATTGTTCGCCCAGCATGCAACAGTTCGTGGAATAATCGCCACAGATCGTGACTCGAATCGCTGAGGGAAAAACTTCACAGGAGTAAACTGGGTTTTTCATAATAAACTAATCATTTTCATATATTCTGAATGAAGAATGTTTTAATGGCGAAGGTCTTCCAGTTTGTTTGTTTTTTAAACTGAAATACCTCATTTACTATGTTGCTACGGCGTGAACGTAACCCTCAAATACTAACTTGATGGGATTTCATTTCAGTTTTACAAAATATTACGAAAATAGATATTTTCAACATGCGTGTTACAAAACCGTACTTTACATCTATACTGCCTGAATGCTACTGTCATTGTAGCACATAATATTGCAGAGATAATAAGAGAATGTATTCAGACGTAAAGTTTTATAGATTGAGTCTCCAATGACGTAGTTGAATGAAATGTTACTCCATTTAATAATATCCCTATAACAACGGTGTTTGCATAACTTTATATGAAAATAAAGTTAATCATCTCAATTGATTCGAAATTATTCAGGAAGACATCAAACAACATGTCACGTGATTAACTGTGACTCAATGCGTACTAACTGTTAATATCTATTATCTACAACAGAATTTCCATCGTGATATAACATATTCCTGGTTTAGGTAATATGCCGTAGTATAACACGAACAACACAATGAGTTGTTTTTTTTACTTTAAGCACTTGAGTCGAGATATCACTTCATATGAGCAGTATTGGCTTGGTGCGCTTAAAGGATTAACAAACAAGGTTAACGATAAAACGAGGTATTAGTATATGGTTTCACGTAAAAGGTTGGGAGGCATCATTTACACGAATAAATGTTGAATAATATATATATGATCCAAGATTCTTAAATATGCAGATAACGAAATATGACGCCACACATTAACCAATTCTCCTTTTGGTGTATGTATATATGTATTTTGTTGCCAAAATATGAGTTTGGATTATACATCCTTACGTCATCATGTCGTCGTTAACGGGCCGGGCCGCACATGCGCACAATAGATTCAGCAATAAGACGCTTGCCCAAATCACATCTATGGCTTTTCCAATAACCAATAACCATGTCCATTTCATGTATAGGTCCAATTTAATGTATAGCATCTTTCACGCTTGTGTCAATCGCGATCTATGGCGACTCATCATTATGTAGTGTATATGCCAAAATACTCTTGCGGCGGCATGGGCAGTTCCCATTGGGTGCTTGTATTCTCTTATTAGTAACCCTTTTCAATCTTCCCGAATGCTGTGATGCATTAGCAGTCCAATTTACAGTTGATATGACGGAGAAATTCACATCACGGTGGTAAGAACAGAACATAAAAAAAGGTAAATAAGAAATAAGACTGGACCTCATCTGCGAAACAGGTGGACGAATTTTGCTGGAAGAACATTTGTTATCCTCCATACATATGTTTGCATATTTTACCAAAATCAACGTAATTTAAGTAACAGATACACGGATTGGCCACGCTCCCAGTGATTTTTAGTGCTTCACATCTCATTTGCATACAGTTATACCTATCCTTAACGTTATTTATCTCACGGCAAGACCGGTTGACTAATGAGAATCCAGGATTCGCATCCGTAATGGACTCCTGTGAAACAAGGAACAATTTTGCAACAAAATACAACAAATTACACAAAACACAGAAACTTTATGGCAACAAAGTTTATTCCTACCGACAAACATAATCCTGGAAATTGGAAATGAAAAGAAATTTCTGCTTTTTCATGACAGTTCAAAACACATTGATCCAATCCGTTCCAATGTTTCCCGAAATGTTGGAAATATTTTTAATCAATCACACAGTTTGATGAGCCAGATAATGAAAACGTTTGGAAGATTAAACATCAATCACTCGTGGGTTATGCACCACGGTTTATAACGCATGATACATCTAACTCATTATATTACACATCCACAGTTATAGAGACGTTACAATGTATCGTAAAAGTTAATTATATTAACAGTCTTTACACGTTGCATGACTAATCCACAGAGGCTGACATGATAGGGCAAAGGTACCATGCAAGCATACTTGTCACAGTCTCTCCATAGATGGACTGTGGGTCAGTTCACAATTAGAAATGAAAAGTAACTACACATGTGTATATTGTCTTCTTCACTTAAAGCATGTAATATATAATAATATATTGCAACTAGAAATAAAAGGTGTTGAAAAGTACACACACACATAGTCCGTGTACCAATAAGGAGTAAGTTTTTGTAAAACGTGTTATATGCCTTTAGTCAATGTTAAATGTTAGGTATAAAAATTCCATTGAATTAAATGGAATTGCCCTTTATATAATTCACCCCATAGCTGTAAAAATGACAAATTGTTTAAAAACAGTCAAATGTTATTTGGAACTAGAACCTGGTTTTGAATTGTATACAATATTTATTGATATAGGTTGGTTTCTAGAACCATTGAAGTAGTAATCACTGAACAAGTTTGCTAATTTGCATAAATCCAAAATGGCCGCCATGAAATCACTGTCTCTACTAGACATTATACAGCAAATTTAGATGTCTTTTAAACAAATTAATGGAATCTATAGGAATGCTTAGCATTTGCATAATAGTACTTTATATGCACAAACGCAATATGAACACCATAAGATCAGAATTCCGAATTCAAAACGAG